CTTCCATGTTATCTTTCTCAGCATTAAGGGTAGCATTGCGTGCTTCAATTACACAGGCCTGCATTGGTTTTATTGTCTTGAAATTTATGCATGTTCTACAGTAATTCCTGTACGCTGAATCCGAAAATGATATCCATTTTTCTCCATTTCGTATAGAGTTTTCACAAAACGTCATAACGCAACACATAAAAGAAAGACCATAACACGTAGTTTGATACTAAAAGGCGTAGATTTCACACACATACACAAAAACAGGATGAATGAAAATGCATATTCGTTTGACATTAATGTTCTTCCATTTTCTTCAGTTTGTTTGTATTTTTGTTAAGAAACATTATAATAAAAAAATGTTCATCGTGGTAAATGAAATAATTATTTGTTCTAAGTAAGAGATTTTTCTTCCCGATTTGTAAAAAATCCTTACGTGATAGAAAAAAGAATGAATATTATTTTTGAAATCTGCGTAGCAGAATTATGAAAAAATCCGTTATTAAAACCAAAACAACTTTTATAAAGTTTACATTCGCAGGCCTGTGTTATCAGATTAGTTTGGCGGATCATAGTAAGTATGGTCAGGTGGTTAGGGCGCTCAACTCGCAATCTGAGGGTCGCGAGTTCGAACCCCCTCCCACCAAACATGCTCACCCTTTCAGCCGTGGGGGAATTATAATGTGACGGTCAATCCCACTATTCCTTGGTAAAAGAGTAGCACAAGAGTTGGCGGTGATGACTAGCTGCCTTCTCTCTAGTCTTTCACTGCTAAATTAGGGACAGCTATCGCAGATATCCCTCGTGTTGCTTTGCGCGAAATTCAAAACAAACATTGTAAATAGCTTTAACCACAATGATGACATGAGAATGCATTTACATTTGGATATGTACTTCTGAATAGATTGAAGTTCAGTTCTAGTCTAAGCAGTGTAGATTTAAGAGATTGGAGATCATTTAAGGCCTTCTCAGTAAATCAAAATGCTCCACAACTGGTTTAACGCCATCAATCCGTGCAAACCATCTAGTTGTGGACATACCATGCACTGAAACAGGAAGATTTTGCTTCAGCATTTCCCACCTTTGTGGACTGCTGCTGAACAGTTCCAAAATAAGTAATTCCCTCCTTGCATGATTCAGCATAGTCAACACTTACAAGGTTTAGTGTGTGGTTGCCACGGCTAGAGAAAATACAATTTGTAATTTGCTCAAGCAAATTACTGGTTGTATACCTTTGTATTTCCCAGCCATATTACATCCATTATGATAGGCTTGGCCAATGGAGTATTGGAAATCTAACTTGAATTTCTAGTACACGAGCAGCAATTTCTTTTCCAGTTTTGTGTGTGTGTGTGTGAAATTATCAAACAATACAAACCGTTCTTAAATTGAAAACTCTGAGCTGTCTACAGTTTTAACATATCGGTTTACTATAGTAGTCTGTTCCTTGTGAGAACAATCTGAACTGGCATCAACAATGATTGAAAAGCACTTTGCATTTCGAATCTCATCAAGAATTACTGTTAATACGAATGATCCACATAGCCTAATAAATTCCTTTTGTATGTCTGTGGAGAGATAATGGATTTGCATGCCTTTTTTTTTCTCTCTCTTGCGATTCGTGAATACGCTTTATATGTTCTGATAAAAGTAGATCACATTTACTGAGGAGGAAATTATGCCTAGAAAATTCACATTTAAACGGTCACAATTCTTTGACTGGAATGAAAGAAAGCCAATCCATGCTGAGATAGAAAAAAAAGATGACCATACCGAAGTAAAGACCGTCCGATAGTCGGTAATGTAGTTTCCATCCTATAGTATGGAAGCCAGTTAAATGCGGTAGTCGGGTCGAACGTTACCGACTATCCAAAACTTTTGAAGAATTCGACTCGAACGCAGTTTCTATGCATGTTATCAAGGGAAGACAAAAAGTTTTCCAATTATCAGCTTCTGTAGTAAGTCCAACCAAGAGTAAATCTTCAATTGAACTTCCAGTTAATGCTGCCCTATTGGATGATTTCCATGAAATATAGTTTTCTTTGTGGGATGCTGAGCCCTCGTTTGGTGGTATTCGGTCTTTTAACTTTCTCCAACCTCTGATGATGCTCCATCCTGATTAGTCAGAGAGAACTGATGCATTTGCAGCACTTTTGTTAAAAATGAAGCAGGGTACACAGTACAGAGATTTCTTAACACTCCAACATAACCAGTCTCTTTTACAGATCTCCCCATTTGGAAAAGTTTTTTGTCAGCAAAAAGGAAATGCATGATTATCAGCAGCTCGTGGAATGTTGCTGGGAATTTCAAAACATCTGATTTGAAGAATTGATTGCATTTGGGCAGCATTTGTCTTGTTAATAGTCCCAATGTCAGTTGTTGTCAAGTCTGTAAAAGGCTTAATCATAATTCCTGCTCTTGCTGCAGATGATCCAGATCAAATTCTTGCTGTTGAGTTTCTCGAATGTACATAGGATTTTCTGCTGCATCTGTCACTTCTTGACCAATGTCATTATGTTCAGGCATTGAAATATTACTTGTTGCGTTTGCAGAATTTCCCCCATCTCGAGCATTTGTGGTTGAATGAAAAGTGTTTTCATGTGATTTGAGAAATGAAGTTACTGTCCTCGAGCTCTTAACTGCTGCTTTACTTAAATGTTTTTTTGTCTATTGCTTGCACCACTTTCAAATCTTCTCATCATAGGATTTATTTGATAATTTGATATATTAAAAGGTTGTACTCTGCAAATAAGTAAAACAAAATAAAGTTATTTAATAAGTTAAATATAAACATATTGTTACGACAGTGAAAGTCACGCGACGCTGGGAGCATGCGCGCTGGAGTTTCTAGGAGGATCATGACTCGTGAATGTCCCAGTGTTTGCTAGATGCCCTCTTTTTTATTATATAAGCCAGCGATAGATAGACTAAAGATAGAGATAATT